CGAGGACTTCGCAGGGGGTCACCCATCCTAGTACTACTCTCGCCCAAGCACGCTTAACAGCGGAGTTCTGATAGGATCCGGTGCATTAGTGCTGGCATGATCGCACTCGAAGATTAACCGCGACTTTATTGTTTTAAGCCGTAGGCGGAAAAATAAATGAAATTGAATGGAACAGGATAATCTGGAAATTGTTTAAAAGGGAGAAATTTGTCGAAAAGGTGGCGAAGGCGATTGAATGGGCTAAAAATCGGACAGGCTGTCCGGGAAAAAAAAAATGGGGGTGGAAAAAGGGACAAAAGGGGTGCAACACGAGGACGTCCCAGGGGGTCACCCATCCTAGTACTACTCTCGCCCAAGCACGCTTAGCTCCGGAGTTCTGATGGGATCCGGTGCATTAGTGCTGGTATGATCGCACCCGAAGATTAACCGCGACTTTATTGTTTTAAGCAGTAGACGGGGAAAAAAATGAAATTGAATGGAACAGTATGGTTTAAAAGGGAGAAGTTTGTCGAAAAGGAGGCGAAGGCGATTGAATGGGCTAAAAATCGAACAGGCTGTCCCGGGGAAAAAAAAAAAAAAGGGGGTTGGTGGCAAAAGTGACAAAAGGGGTGCAACACGAGTACTTCCTAGGGGGTCACCCATCCTAGTACTACTCTCGCCCATGCACGGTTAACTGCGTAGTTCTAATGGGATCTGGTGCATTAGTGTTGGTATGATCGCACCTGAAGATTAACCGCGACTTTATTGTTTTAACCAGTAGACGGGAAAAAAAATGAAATTGAATGGAACAGGATAATCTGGAAATGGGTTAACAGGGAGAAATTGTCGAAAAGGAGGCGAAGGCGATTGAATGGGCTAAAAATCGGACAGGCTGTCCGGGGAAAAAAAAAAGAGGGGGGGGGGGAAAAAGGGGCAAAAGGGGGGCAACACGAGGACTTCCCAGGGGGTCACCCATCCTAGTACTACTCTCGCCCAAGCACGCTTAACTGCAGAGTTCTGATGGGATCCAGTGCATTAGTGCCGGTATGATCGCACCCGAAGGTTAACCGCGACTTTATTGTTTTAAGTAGTAGACGGGAAAAAAAATGAAATTGAATGGAATAGGATAATCTGGAAATTGTTTAAAAGGGAGAAATTTGTCGAAAATGAGGCGCAGGCGATTGAATGGGCTAAAAATCGGACAGGCTGTCCGAGAAAAAAAAAAGGGGGGGAGGGAAAATGGGACAAAAGGGGTGCAACACGAGGACTTCCCAAGGGGTCACCCATCCAAGTACTACTCTCGCCCAAGCACGCTTAACTGCGGAGTTCTGATGGGATCCGGTGCATTAGTGCTGGTATGATCGCACCCGAAGATTAAACACGACTTTATTGTTGTAAGCAGTAGACGGGAAAAAAAAGGAAATTGAATGGAACAGGATAATCTGGAAATGGTTTAAAAGGGAGAAATTTGTCGAAAAGGAGGCGAACGCGATTGAATGGGCTAAAAATCGGACAGGCTGTCAGGGGAAAAAAAAAAAGGGTGGGGTGGAAAAATCGACAAAAGGTGTGCAACACGAGGACTTCCCAGGGGGTCACCCATCCGAGTACTACTCTCGCCCAAGCACGCTTCACGGCGGAGTTCTGATGGGATACGGTGCATTAGTGCTGGTATGATCGCAACCGAAGATTAACCGCGACTTTATTTTTTTAAGCAGTAGACGGGAAAAAAAAAGAAATGGAATGGAATAGGATAATCTGGAAATGGTTTACAAGGGAGAAATTTGTCGAAAATGAGGCGAAAGCGATTGAATGGGCTAAAAATTGGACAGACTGTAAAATCGGACTGGCTGTCCGGGGAAAAAAAATAGAGGGGGGGGTGGAAAAAGGGACAAAAGGGGGGCAACACGAGGACTTCCCAGGGGGTCACCCATCCGAGTACTACTCACACCCAAGAACGCTTAACTGCGGAGTTCTGATGGGATCCGGTGCATTAGTGCTGGTATGATCGCACCCGATGATTAACCGCGACTCTATTGTTTTAAGCAGTAGACGGGAAAAAAAATGAAATTGAATGGAATAGGATAATCTGGAAATGGTTTAAAAGGTAGAAATTTGTCGAAAAGGAGGCGAAGGTGATTGAATGGGATAAAAATCGGACAGGCTGTCCGGGGAAAAAAAAAGGGGGGGGGGAAAGGGACAAAAGGGGGGCAACACGATGACTTCCCAGGGGGTCACCCATCCTAGTATTACTCTCGCCCAAGCATGCTTAACTGCGGAGTTCTGATGGGATCCGGTGCATTAGTGCTGGTATGATCGCAACCGAAGATTAACCGCGACTTCATTGTTTTAAGCAGTAGACGGGAAAAAAGTGAAATGGAATGGAACAGGATAATCTGGAAATGGTTTAAAAGGGAGAAATTTGTCGAAAATGAGGCGAAGGCGATTGAAAGGGCTAAAAATCGGACAGGCTGTCCTGGGAAAAAAAAAAGGGGGGGGGTTGGAAAAAGGAACAAATGGGGTGCAACACGAGGACTTCCCAAGGGGTCACCAGTCCTAGTACTCCTCTCGCCCAAGCACGCTTAACTACGGAGTTCTGTTGGGATCCGGTGCATTAGTGCTGGTATGATCGCACCCGATGATTAACCACGACTTTATTGTTTTAAGCAGTAGACGTGAAAAAAATGAAATTGAATGGAATAGGATAATCTGGAAAAGGTTTAAAAGGGAGAAATTTGTCGAAAAGGAGGCGATGGCGATTGAATGGGCTAAAAATTGGACAGGCCGTCCGGGAAAAAAAAAAATGGGGCGGGGTGGGAAAAGGGACAAAAGGGGAGCAACACGAGGACTTCCCAGGGGGTAACCCATCCTAGTACTACTCTCCCCCAAGCACGCTTAATTGCGGAGTTCTGATGGGATCCGGTGCATTAGTGCTGGTATGATCACACCCGAAGATTAACCGCGACTTTATTATTTTAAGCAGTAGCCGGGAAAAAAAATGAAATTGAATGGAACAGGATAATCTGGAAATGGTTTAAAAGGGAGAAATTTGTCGAAAAGGAGGAAAAGGAGGCGAAGGCGATTGAATGGGCTAAAAATCGGACAGGCTGTCCGGGGAAAAAAAAGGGGGGGGGTGGAAAAAGGGACAAAAGGGGTGCAACACGAGGACTTCCCCGGGGGTCACCCATCCTAGTACTACTCTCGCCTAAGCACGCTTAATTGCGGAGTTCTGATGGGATCCGGTGCATTAGTGCTGGTATGATCGCACCCGAAGATTAACCGCGACTTTATTGTTTTAAGCAGTCGAAGTGAAAAAAAATGAAATTGAATGGAACAGGATAATCTCAAAATGGTCTAAAAGGGAGAAATTTGTCGAAAAGGTGGCGAAGGCGATTGAATGGGCTAAAAATCGGACAGGCTGTCCGGGGAAAAAAAAGGCGGGGGGTGGAAAAAGGGACAAAAGGGGTGCAACACAAGGACTTCCCAGGGGGTCACCCATCCTAGTACTACTCTCGTCCAAGCACATTTAACTGCGGAGTTTGGATGGGATCCGGTGCATTAGTGCTGGTATGATCGCAACCAAAGATTGACCGCGACTTTATTGTTTTCAGTATTAGACGGAAAAAAAAATGAAATTGAATGGAACAGGATAATCTGGAAATGGTTTAAAAGGGAGAAATTTGTCGAAAAGGAGGCGATGGCGATTGAATCGGTTAAAAATCAGACAGGCTGTCCGGGGAAAAAAAAAAGGGGGGGTGGAAAAGGGACAAAAGGTGTGCAACACAAGGACTTCCCAGGGGGTCACCCATCCTAGTACTACGCTCACCCAAGCACGCTTAACTGCAGAGTTCTGATGGGATCCGGTGCATTAGTGCTGGTATGATCGCACCCGATGATTAACCGCGACTCTATTGTTTTGAGTAGTAGACGGGAAAAAAATGAAATTGAATGGAACAGGATAATCTGGAAATCGTTTAAAAGGGAGAAATTTGTCGAAAAGGAGGCGATGGCGATTGAATCGGTTAAAAATCAGACAGGCTGTCCGGGGAAAAAAAAAAGGGGGGGTGGAAAAGGGACAAAAGGTGTGCAACACAAGGACTTCCCAGGGGGTCACCCATCCTAGTACTACGCTCACCCAAGCACGCTTAACTGCAGAGTTCTGATGGGATCCGGTGCATTAGTGCTGGTATGATCGCACCCGAAGATTAACCGCGACTTTATTGTTTTAAGCAGTAGACGGGGAAAAAGATGAAATTGAATGGAACAGGATAATTTGGAAATGGTTTAAAAGGGAGAAATTGTGGAAAAGGAGGCGAAGGCGATTGAATGGGCTAAAAATCGGACAGGCTGTCCGGGGAAAAAAAAAAAGGGGGGGGGGGGGAAAAAGGGGCAAAAGGGGTGCAACACGAGGACTTCCCAGGGGGTCACCCATCCTAGTACTACTCTCGCCCAAGCACGCTTAACTGCGGATTTCTGATGGGATCCGGTGCATTAGTGCTGGTATGATCGCACCCGAAGATTAATCGCGACTTTAATGTTTTAAGCAGTAGAGGAGAAAAAAAATGAAGTTGAATGGAACAGGATAATCTGGAAATGGTTTAAAAGGGAGAAATTTGACGAAAAGGAGGCGAAGGCGATTGAATGGGCTAAAAATCGGACAGGCTGTCCGGGGAAAAAAAAAAGGGGGGGGGGGGGGGGAAAAAGGGGCAAAAGGGGTGCAACACGAGGACTTCCCCGGGGGTCACCCATCCTAGTACTACTCTCGCCCAAGCACGCTTAACTGCGGAGTTCTGATGTGATCCGGTGCATTAGTGCTGGTATGATCGCACCCGAAGATTAACCGTGACTTTGTTGTTTTAACCAGTAGACGGGAAAAAAAAAATGAAATTGAATGGAACAGGATAATCTCGAAATGGTTTAAAAGGGAGAAATTTGTCGAAAAGGAGGCGAAGACGATTGAATGGGCTAAAAATCGGACAGGCTGTCCCGGGAAAAAAAATGGGGGGGTGGAAAAATGGACAAAAGGGGTGCAACACGAGGACTTCCCAGAGGGTCTCCCATCCCAGTTGTACTCTCGCCGAAGCACGCTTAACTGCGGAGTTCTGATGGGATCCGGTGCATTAGTGCTGGTATGATCGCACCAGAAGACTAACCGCGACTTTATATTTTTAAGCTGTAGACGGGAAAAAAAATGAAATTGAATGGAACAGGATAATCTGGAAATGGTTTAAAAGGGATTAATTCGTCGAAAAGGAGGCGAAGGTGATTGAATGGGCTAAAAATCGGACAGGCTGTCCGGGAAAAAAAAAAGGGGAGGGTGGTGGAAAAAGGGACAAAAGGGCTACAACACGAGGACTTCCCAGGGTGCCACCCATCCAAGTACTACTCTCGCCCAAGCACGCTTAACTGCGGAGTTCTGATGAGATCCGGTGCATTAGTGCTGGTATGATCGCACCCGAAGATTAACCGCGACTTTGTTGTTTTAACCAGTAGACGGGAAAAAAAATTGAAATTGAATGGAATAGGATAATCTGGAAATGGTTTAAAAAGGAGAAATTTGTCGGAAAGGAGACGAAGGCGATTGAATGGGCTAAAAATCGGACAGGCTGTCCGGGAAAAAAAAAAGGGGGTGTGGAAAAAGGGACAAAAGGGGTGCAACACGAGGATTTCCAAGGCGGTCACCCATCCTAGTACTACTCTCCCCCAAGCACGCTTAACTGCGGAGTTCTGATGGGATCCGGTGCATTAGTTCTGGTATGATCGCACCCGAAGATTTACCGCGACTTTGTTGTTTTAACCAGTAGATGGGATAAAAAATGAAATTGAATGGAACAGGATAATCTAGAAATGGTTTAAAAGGGAGAAATATTTCGAAAAGGAGGCGAAGGCGATTGAATGGGCTAAAAATCGGACAGGCTGTCCGTGGAAAAAAAAAATAAAGGGGGGTGGAAAAAGGGACAAAAGATGTGCAACACGAGGACTTCCAAGGGGGTCACCCATCCTAGTACTTATCTCGCCCAAGCACGCTGAACTGTGGAGTTCTGATGGGATCTGGTGCATTAGTGCTGGTACGATCGCACCCGAAGATTAATCGCGACTTTATTGTTTTAACCAGTAGACGGGAAAAAAAATGAAATTGAATGGAACAGGATAATCTGGAAATGGTTTAAAAGGGAGAAATTTGTCGAAAAGGAGGCGAAGGCGATTGAGTGGGCTAAAAATCGGACAGGCTGTCCGGGGAAAAAAATAAATAAAGAGGTGGGTGGAAAAAGGGACAAAAGGGGTGCAACACGAGGACTTCCCAGGGGGTCACCCATCCTAGTGCTACTCTCGCCTAAGCACGCTTAACTGCGGAGTTCTGATGGGATCCGGTGCATTAGTTCTGGTATGATCGCACCAGAAGATTAACCGCGACTTTATTGTTTTATGGAGTAGACGGGAAAAAAAATGAAATTGAATGAAACAGGATAATCTGGAAATGGTTTAAAAGGAAGAAATTTGTCGAAAAGGAGGCGATGGCGATTATGATCGCACCCGAAGATTAACCGCGACTTTATCGTTTTAAGCAGTAGACGGGAAAAAAAATGAAATTGAATGCAACAGGATAATCCGGAAATGGTTTAAAAGGGAGAAATTTGTCGAAAAGGATGCGAAGGCGATTGAATGGGCTAAAAATCGGACAAGCCGTCCGGGAAAAAAAAAAAAAAGGGGGGGGGTGGAGAAAGGGACAAAAGGGGTGCAACACGAGGACTTCCCAGGGGGTTACCCCTCCTGGTACTACTCTTGCCCAAGCACGCTTAATTGCGGAGTTCTGATGGGAACCGCTGCATTAGTGCTGGTATGATCGCCCCCGAAGATTAACCGTGACTTTATTGTTTTAAGCAGTAGACGGGAAAAAAATGAAATTGAATGGAAAAGAATAATCTTGAAATGGTTTAAAAGGGAGAAATTTGTCGAAAAGGAGGCGTAGGCGATTGAATGGGCTAAAAATCGGACAGGCCGTCCGGGAAAAAAAAAAAAGGGGGGGGGGCGTGGAAAAAGGGACAAAAGGGGTGCAACACGAGGACTTCCCAGGGGGTCACCCCTCTTGGTACTACTCTTGCCCAAGCACGCTTAATTGCGGAGTTCTGATGGGATCCGCTGCATTAGTGCTGGTATGATAGCACCCGAAGATTAACCGCGACTTTATTGTTTTAAGCAGTAGACGGGAAAAAAAATGAAATTGAATGGAACAGGATAATCTGGAAATGGTTTAAAAGGGAGAAATTTGTCGAAAAGGAGGCGATGGCGATTGAATCAGCTAAGGGTCACCCATCCCAGTACTACTCTCGCCCAAACACGCTTAACTGCGGAGTTCTGATGGGATCTGGTGCATTAGTGCTGGTATGATCGCACCCGAAGATTAATCGCGTCTTTATTGTTTTAAGCAGTAGACGGGAAAAAAAATGAAATTGAATGGAACAGGATAATCTGGAAATGGTTTAAAAGGGAGAAATTGTCGAAAAGGAGGCGAAGGCGATTGAATGGGCTAAAAATCGGACAGGCTGTCCGGCGGAAAAAAAAAGGGGGGGGGGTGTGAAAAAAGGGACAAAAGGGGTACAACACAACGACTTCCCAGGGGGTCACCCATCCTAGTACTATTCTCACCCAAGCACGCTTAACTGCGGAGTTCTGATGGGATACGGTGCATTAGTGCTGGTGTGATCGCACCCGAAGATTAACCGCGACTTTATTGTTTTAAGTAGTAGACGGGGAAAAAAATGAAATTGAATGGAACAGGATAATCTGGAAATGGTTTAAAAGGGAGAAATTGTCGAAAAGGAGCGAAGGCGATTGAATGGGCTAAAAATCGGACAGGCTGTCCGGGGAAAAAAAGGGGGGGGGTGGAAAAAGGGACAAAAGGGGTGCAACACGAGGACTTCCCAGGGGGTCACCCATCGGACTACTAATCTCGCCCAAGCACGCTTAACTGCGGAGTTCTAATGGGATCTGGTGCATTTGTGCTGGTATGATTGCACCCGAAGATTAACCGCGAGTTTATTGTTTTAAGTAGTAGACGGTAAAAAAAAATGAAATTAAATGGAACAGGATAATCGGGAAATGGTTTAAAAGGGAGAAATTTGTCGAAAAGGAGGCGAAGGCAATTGAATGGGCTCAAAATCGAACGGGCTGTCCGGGGAAAAAAAAAAAGGGGGGGAGGGTGGAAAAAGGGACAAAAGTGGTGCAACACGAGGGCTTCCCCGGTGGTCACCCATCCTAGTATTACTCTCGTCCAAGCACGCATAACTGCGGAGTTCTGATGGGATCCAGTGCATTAGTGCTGGTACGATCGCACCCGAAGATTAACCGCGACTTTATTGTTTTAAGCAATAGACGGGAAAAAAAATGAAATTGAGTGGAACAGAATAATCTGGAAATGGTTTAAAAGGGAGAACTTTGTCGAAAAGAAGGCGAAGGCGATTGAATGGGCTAAAAATCGGACAGGCTGTCCGGGGAAAAAAAAAAAGGTGGGGGTGGAAAAAGGGACAAAAGGGGTGCAACACGAGGACTTCCCAGGGGGTCACCCATCCTAGTACTACTCTCCCCAAGCACGCTTAACTGCGGAGTTCTGATGGGATCCGGTGCATTAGTGCTGGTATGATCGCACCCGAAGATTAATTGCGACTTTATTGTTTTAAGCAGTCGAAGGGAAAAAAAATGAAATTGAATGGAACAGGATAATCTCGAAATGCTCTAAAAGGGAGAAATTTGTCGAAAAGGTGGCGAAGGCGATTGAATGGGCTAAAAATCGGACAGGCTGTCCGGGGAAAATAAAAGGGGGGGTGGAAAAAGGGACAAAAGGGGTGCAACACAAGGACTTCCCAGGGGGTCACCCATCCTAGTACTACTCTCGTCCAAGCACACTTAACTGCGGAGTTTTGATGGGATCCAGTGCATTAGTGCTGGTATGATCGCACCCGAAGATTGACCGCGACTTTATTGTTTTCAGCATTAGACGGAAAAAAAAATGAAATTGAATGGAACAGGATAATCTGGAAATGGTTTAAAAGGGAGAAATTTGTCGAAAAGGAGGCGATGGCGATTGAATCGGCTAAAAATCAGACAGGCTGTCCGGGGAAAAAAAAAACGAGGGGGTGGAAAAGGGACAAAAGGGGTGCAACACGAGGACTTCCCAGGGGGTCACCCATCCTAGTACTACTCTCACCCAAGCACGCTTAACTGCAGAGTTCTGATGGGATCCGGTGCATTAGTGCTGGTATGATCGCACCCGATGATTAACCGCGACTTTATTGTTTTGAGTAGTAGACGGGAAAAAAATGAAATTGAATGGAACAGGATAATCTGGAAATCGTTTAAAAGGGAGAAATTTGTCGAAAAGGGGGCAAAGGCGATTGAATGGGCTAAAAATCGGACAGGCTGTCTGGGGGAAAAAAAAAAACTAGGGCGGGGGTGGAAAAAGGGACAAAAAGGGTGCAACACGAGGACTTCCCAGGGGGTCACCCATCCCGGTACTACTCTCGCCCAAGCACGCTTGACTGCGGAGTTCTGATGGGATTCGGTGCATTAGTGCTGGTATGATCGCACCCGAAGATTAACCGCGACTTTATTGTTTTAAGCAGTAGACGCGAATAAAAAGGAAATTGAATGCAACAGGATAATCTGGAAATGGTTTAAAACCGAGAAATTTGTCGAAAAGGAGGCGAAGGCGATTGAATGGTCTAAAAATCGGACAGGCTGTCCGGGGAAAAAAAAAATGGGGGGCAGGTGGAAAAAGGAAGAAAAGGGGTGCAACACTAGGACTTCCTAGGGGGTCAACCATCCTAGTACTACTCTCACCCAAGCACGTTTAACTGCGGAGTTCTGATGGGATCCAGTGCATTAGAGCTGGTATGATCGCACCCGAAGATTATCCGCGACTTTATTGTTTTAAGCAGTAGAAGGGAAAAAAAATGAAATTGAATGGAACAGGATAATCTGGAAATGGTTTAAAAGGGAGAAATTTGTCGAAAAGGAGGCGAAGGCGATTGAATGGTCTAAAAATAGGACAGGCTGTCCGGGGAAAAAAAAAATGGGGGGTGGAAAAAGGGACAAAAGGGTGCAACACGAGGACTTCCCAAGGGGTCACGCATCCCAGTACTACTC